ATTTTGATTGCAATGTCACCTATTCCAAGAACATTTTGTAAGTTATTATCACCCATATATAACTTTCTGGATTCTATCTCCTTCAAGTTATTAAACCAAGATTTATTTGGACACATGTGAAAAGTACATCAAGAGTCTAGTATTCAATCAGTGTCTGTTTCTTCATTTGTCATAGTCATTACAAGTAGGCTATCCAGGTCAAAGCTTATAGCAGCATTTTTTAACTCAATGTTGCTATGTTCTTTCAGCTTCTTCTTTAATTCAAAGCAATCTCTTTTGAAATGTACAAGTTTATGTACAAGTTTTCCACAGTGATAGCACTTTTTATTACTTTTGTCTCTTGATTTAGATCTTGCTTTGGATTTACAATTGAATCTTTTATTCTATGGATGGTTCTCCCTCTCACAAATAGACTCTCCTCTCTTGAATTAATTCTTGATTCTTTCTTAACTTCCAATTCCCTGGATCTTAGGGTGTCTCTTGTGTATTTTATAGCATTTCTGATATTTTTATAAGAATTAGGTAAAGAGTTTAGAAGGATCACTGCGAGATCCTCATCTTCAAATTTTTTATCATTATGAGCAAGACTCTTCACCGATATGCTAAAATCACTCAAATTTGCTTCAAGATCTTTTCGTTCATCCATTTTAAAACTAAACAATTTTTCCAGAAAATAAATTTTATTTGGTAAAGTCTTGGTCAGGAACAGGTTGTTTAAGACTATACATAAGTCCCTAGCAGTTTTGGAATCCTCTACTTGTCTTACTATATTATCAGATAAATGCAAGAGAATTGAACTATAATCAATCTAATTCAATTCAAGAATCTCATTAGGCTTAGCTTTAAGTTTAGCAAGATATGTAATTGGGTCATCCAGGGCTTCAGCAACTCATTGTTGGACTAATATATTCGCACAAGTGCAGAAAAAGGTTCCTAATAGTTTAAGGAAAGGCTGATGACAAAATGAAATCACTATTCTAGCGTGCACAAACAATGACAGCAACTCAGGCAATTAAGATGTTGTTAAAACAGGGTTACACAACAAGTGTAACGAGGCTATGAATAACAAATCCTATACATGCTCATATTTCAAACTGATTAATAATACAGAGTACTCAGTTTTCAGTAATTAATCAACAAATCAATGAGCATGTAAATGTTTAAACCAACTTATCCAGTGATAGTTAAGGAAGGTCTCACCCAACACTGTTGAACAACAGAGCTATTCAAAGATTCTGAAGAACTCCCTATCACCTGCCTAGTACTGTCCCGAAGAAATAGCCAAGAAACAAACCGAAGGATTCCTTTACCTCCTCAAAATCGTTTATCTTTAGAACAAGGATTTTAACCCAGACGCTTTAAGAAACTAGCTCTGATACCAGATTTGTAGGGTATTTTAACCCAAAACCCACAAAAAATAGAAAGATAATAAAAGACTATGCAAGAAAATAAACAAACACAAGGGATTGTTCACCCAGTTCAGCCTAACACAGGCTAATCTGGGAGGCTCAGAGGTAAGCATGTCACTATGCAAAAACCTTCAAGAAAGAGTGTACAACCGGAGTGAGTAAGCCAAACCAAACGACTATATGGTCATAGATCTACAAGGATCTCACAATACACGACCTTAGCCTAACTCGACTAGAAAAATCCTTGCAAAAACTCAGTACGAATTTTCCAACCAAAAATCAGGCCTAAAACATTGCACTACAATTTTTACCATCGTCAGATACTGTAATATCATTACAAAATTCACTATCAATCAACGGATCGAAGTAGAAGAAGAACAAATGTCGTAGTACAGAGAGAGAAAACTCAATAAACAAAGACCAAAAAAATGAAGCTTCTAGAATCTCGAACGGTCTCCATACCCTATAATGGTTGGGAGGTTAAATCTCAACCATTGGATATAATCAACTGTCCACAACAGGCTTAAAGAAGCACAACTCGATTGACCAAGGATCAACCAATATGTGAATGCCATCTGTCCAGATTGGGTGCAAATTTATAAAACGCATCCCCACTTACAAAGTCGTCGTTTGAGAAAAACAACTTCACACACCAATATGGAAATTTGTGTTGTTAGAGCCCAACTTCATTGTCATCGATCAAATATTGTTATCTCAATGATCCGTAGTTCTATCATTTGGATAAAATTTCGAAACCAATTGTTCTTCAAATACAATGGTCATCAAGATTTAAAGATTGATTCAGGAGAAATCACTAGCTAACAAATAGCGAATTTTGGTGAGATCTTTCCTTTATTGGTCTTTTTGTAGTCTTTCTTGAGATATTTGTAATTGGATAGTTGTTATTGTTGCTTGATACTTTTGAGAGATTTCATCTTTGATCGATCAAGGTTTTTGGGTATGAGAATTGTTGAATTCTTGATGGTTTGGTTAGCTTCTAGTTGTAGAGATGTTGTTGTACCTTTTATTGTTGATTATATGAAAGGTAATGTGGAGTTGGGGTGGTGGGCGAAGACAAATTGCCTAATCACGATAAATATTATGTCATTTATTACGTGCGTTATTTATTTGGTTTTGCTTTATTTGATCATCTCCTATTAGGTTTTCACAAAGAAAGGGAAAATTATTTATTCTGCAGCATTATTGCTAGATATTTATTAGATATTGACCTAATTTCTCCAAAAATGTAGTGGTTCAAATTTTACAGATGTCTTACGTTATTTTTTAGTGACAAGTTTGATACATTTTGTTGGACAATATATTATAAGAATGGATAAATTAATTTTGTTGAGTACTTTTTTCAATTTATTTTTTAATAAGAGGAAAGTACCTCTAAAACTCTATTGATGAACCCTCACATCTGGCGGAAGAATACCATCGCTACACTGGAATAGTACTCAAAAATAAAATATAGCCTACAATTAAAACTAACTAAAATCTGAAAAGAGGGCCAAATACTATCAAGTCTAATGCAATCAAAAGTACGCCTACAAAAGCCGTCACTAAATAAAAATAAAAATAAAATAAAAAAAGGCCAACCTTTTCAATAATCATGTCAATTATAAGTAGTTTATTCCAATATATGATCTTTTGTGATAAAAGGTGGAATTTTATACATGGATGTTTATTTAATGAACGCTTTGAAATGCCTCGAGGATTCCGTCCCAAATCAACGTCAAAAACTTTTTAACTAGGTAAGTCATAGGGCAAATACTGAAACTATGAAACTTCAAAAGGGAAAACATTAAATGATAAGAATATAATGCATCATAATTATACTATGATTCAAGCATTGTGCACTTTATTTTACCGAATAAGCATTAAATATGTGGTCCAGTGTGAAAAAAAATGTATATATTACAATAAAACCTATAATAAGTTGAAGATTTTCTAGTTTACTTTTAGGTCAAGTTTGAAAGAAAAGTAGATGAATCTGTAGGCTAGCCAATCAATTTAACTACAAATTTAATACCAATTTACAATATATTCAAACAAGGTTTATGTTATTCCAGTCCAAGATGAATTTGAACTCCTTTAATGTAATTAATCTAAAAACCCTAGTATTGAAATTAAACATGAAAGTCTTGTGCCTGATTTTAAATGAGGAAAAAATGAAATGAATTCTCTTATCATTTGTGACTCAACCTAAAATAGATAGTTATTCTCTTCTTGTAGTGCCCTCTTATCATTTGATTTTCCTAAACAGAATAACAAAATCCTAAACAGATTATGACGAAAGTTTATATTGTTATTCTCTTCTTGTAGTGCCCTCTTTAGACGGAAACTTATAATTTATCATTTTTTACTAGAGCGGAAAAGTTTTCTTCACATTTTTATCGACAAGATCGATGAGATGATTCAATATATCATCTATAAGGTACATTCAAGCTTTTGATGAAAATGCATCCCGTTTGCATGTGGCTATAGCCTTTTTAATGTGACGATTCAAAGAATCTACCATGACATAACCGTAATTAGAATCATATAATACAGGATACGATCTTCTATGAGCTGCTTTGGAAAAATACTTGGTTATGCTAAAAAAAAACTATGCACCAAGTTACCCTGTGGATCAAAGGTTGTAGGTGAATATTAGTCTTTTAATGCCTAACTTTGTTTAGAGTTCGGAATAGATTTGGAAGAAATTCAGAGGAGGGCAACTGGATGACGAATATTGGTTGTGTGGATGAAAGCGCATGACGTTTTAGGCGACACTTAACTAGAAAAATATATATGGCAAATGAAGGCAGAATTAATGATGTTAAAGAATCACAATCAAACTTCAATGAGAGTGGGTGAGCAGTAAATTTGCAGGCCCTCCAAGGAAAAAATAAAATAAATAAAAACCTACTTCGACCTTTGGATATTCATGGAAATTAAATAGGTATTGTTAGACTATGTAGATCTAGATGTTCGTTTTAAATTCTATTATTTTGAATTCTGTGGTAGGTAGCTATCTTTTGTGTAAACATTATTCTTGGTATACAAGTAGGCATTCATAAAACCCCTATTGACTACTCACACTAGGTGGGTCCCCCTGTATAAAAAATATCCAAAAAATACTCACTCATCCCCTGTTGTCGATACCCCTATTCTGTACCCCAAGCTCAGTTCTTTGTATAATAGTAGTATTCCTACTTTTATCGCTTTCAAGTGTTCTTTCTCTACTTGTGTCTTAGGTAATCGTGCTCTTTTTTATAAATAAAATAGGATCGAAAAATCCAATCCCCATGAAGTGTAGTAAGGCCTAAAAACCCCACTTAGTCTCTAACGTTATTTTGCTTCAAAAATTAAAGTAAATGGAAAGAATAATGCTACTTATAGTAAAAACTACAGGAATAAGACGATTATCGATAGTCCTCATTATAAATAGTAACGGAAAATTAATTCTGTTTGGATATCATTTATAAATTGAAGATCCATCAAAGTCAAACATTAATTCAACCACTCAACATAGTTACTACTCATTACTATTTCCATATTTTGTAGAATCTACTAATATTCCCTTATATAAATTGATTTATAAACTTGCGAAAACTGAGTTCGAAGAGATGGACGAGTCTTTTATTTCTCTCGCGAAATATATATACTGGCCTTCAAAGTCATTAATACCTATATAAACTCGAATCTTTTTTCTGTTAGATTTGCCATTCCGATCCTTTCATCGCCTATTCTTTCCAATTAATTAAACGTTTCTTCTAAGCCTGTATAATTTAAAGCTTCTTGAAGACTTTAAGTTTTCAGCTCAGGAATATCATCTTTTTCTCCTGAATTTGTCTTCTTTTTCAGTTATCTTGGATCTCTAACCAGGTATACATCTTCATAATTCTGAACTAGTTTTATATCTAAATTTATCTTTACTTTTCAGCTAATTAGTTTTTTGAATGGTAGCTTTCCTTGGACAGTAGGATCTGAAAAATAAACCAGCAGGGTTTTTTGGGGTTACCACCAGTAGCAGCAGCAGCAGCAGCAGCAGCAGCAGCGGCAGGAGGAGTAGAGAGAGAGAGAGAGGTGGGGCTGGGCTGGCTGTAAGGCTTTAATCTGGATAGTAAGTGGAATCAAGAAAAGGAAAGAAATCCACCACTGGACATGCAAATATGGAACCAAAAATGGGAATGAAGGGCAAAGGAATAGAAGGAGAAATAGTACAAGTTCAAGGCGGTCACATTCTTCGGTCAACTAGCCAGAAGGACCGGCACAGCAAGGTCTACACCGCGAAAGGCCCGAGAGATAGAAGAGTTAGGCTTTCTGCTCATACCGCAATACAATTTTACGATGTCCAGGACAGGTTAGGCTACGACCGGCCTAGCAAGGCAGTTGATTGGCTAATTGAAAAGGCGAAAGACGCCATTGATAAGCTAGATGCGCTACCCCCTTGGCACGCGAACGACACTTCAGTAGCTCAAAATTCAGAATCTAATCCTAGTTCAAGTGGGACAAAAGTTAAAATTCAATCAGACTCTTCGTTTATTCAACCCGAATCTGACACGGAATTCATGAACACGATGAAATCTTTCTTCCCAACAAGTTCCAGTGCAGCTTCTTTAATGAATTTTCAGAATTTTCCACATGATATAATGTCCAGAGCCTCATTTCAGGCTGAAGACCTTGGTCTTTCACTTCACACTTTGCAAGACCAAAATTCGAGGCCTTCGACTAATCCAGACCCATCTGGTTCTACATTTCAGGATAATTATCAAAAAATGGATAGTTGGAGTGCCAATGGAAGTGTCGAAAATAGGGTTGGATTTCATATTGACTCACACACAGTCCCCCAAGTCCAACAAGCATTTATCTCCCAGGACTTGCCATTTTCTAATAGGGAACTCCTTCAATCCAATTACTCAAACTTTATTCAGCATAATCAACAGCCAAGTGTTCACCAATCTTCAGATTCTGGTAGCCATTTCGCTTTCGGTTTTCAAGTTCCAGCTCGAATTCATGGAGAAGACAAGCCAGAAACTCAAAATTAAACGAAGACAAATTCATTTCCATCATCAGGTACTAAAATAAAATCCTTATTCTATTCCAGTTAATTCTTTGTGTTGAGCTTTTTTCTTTTATTTTTTCTTCCTTTTAAATATCTTCAAGTTGCATACTTCGATAATTTTCCAGGACTTTTGTTAATTGGGATCTCAGCCTCGAAGATTTTTCAGGAACTCAACAGCAAAGTAGAAAAGTTCATATGGCTCAAGTTATTTTAGGCAATTGATTTATGTTTTGACTCAATATTTTGTGCTTATTTTGTTATCATGTCCTCCATTTACAATTTTGCAGTCAAATTTCTTTATTTAATTTTCTGTACGTACCAAGAACCAGGATTGAGTTCAGCTCGCATTTGCCTTTTTTCCAGGCTTTTTTTTTTTTTTTATGTGGGATAATTAACTTCAAAAATTGATTAGTTTCTGTAGGAATATCGTAGCATACTTTGACATGAATTTCGGATCAACAAACTTACTTGAAATGATGAATTTCAAGATATTTGTATGTTTGAATCATCTTACTTTCAAATCTCCAAAATTTGTATTTTCTTGTACTCCAATTATCCAAATCCCAATCACAATGGAAGAGGATTATTGTCCACAATCTAAGTATCATTTCTTGTGAGATTTCATTCCAAAAATGTGATTCTAAGGACTTTCCAATTTTGAGGTGAATTTCCATACGAATTTTTTTACCATTTTTCTCATGTCTTACATTTTCCCCCTCTTTTCCATAACTTTTATATGGAAGTTTCAAGTGATTACTTGGGAGTTATAGGTTTGAATTCTAAATTAAAACCACTCCCTCCAACCCTTATAAAATTTTACGGGTCGAGTCACCCCACATGGGCGACCCATTATCCGTATTTTCCAACAGTTTCAATTAATCTAATTTTTCTTAACCAATATTCGCTTGGGTGTAGATTCATAAGTTGGATTAATTGTTAAAATTAGTTTAAACACTCTAATGTGTAAGATGATAGAAAGGGGAAAAAATAGGAGAATAAACATGTAGCTATCTTCCAATTGAACTTGAAACCCTTGTAAACTCAAGTTACATATTACTAGAAAGTCTTATGCAGTTGAGTTTAAATGTTTAAATTGAGCAAAGGTCTAATGTTTCCCCACAATCAATTAACTCTGGGTGGATTAAAGTTCATTGGATTTTAGTTATGAAGCCATTTTGTGTGATATTGTAAATTTGCAATCCTGTTATAGAGCTTGAACCAGGTTCTTGTCGTTTTATTCGCAGAAATGGGAATTAAGGTATCCCATGAGTTTTCATCCTTTGAGACTATGGTTTTTAATTTGTTAGGATGGTACAAACCTGTGGTTTTTTCCATCGTCAAGGCAAGATTGGTTGGACTAGCCCACTTTTCTCTAGGTTATATATTTGCTTATGCAGCTTTCTTGATTGCCTCTACATTGAGCAAATTTGGCCGATTGTATTACTTTCCACTTTTCTTTTCTTTTTTTTTTTTGCCAAAATCCGTGGCTATTTTTATTAATAAAGTTTGTTTCATTGGTCTTTAAAAAAGGGAGAATTTGTTAGAAACTTCACTAGTAAGAGAAACTCTTATGGGTTAAGTGTTTAATGCAAGAACATGAAAATCGACTTAAACTTTCTTGAATCAACTCATATCAGAGAAATTAGTCACTGCAAATTAAATTTGGTCAAGCATTTTGCTCTAAATAATCAAGTGAAATTTCGTTGTTTGTAGAAAACTCGTAAGTATACGGGATCGTTATACAAGTAATAAGATTTGTTAGATAAGAGTATCGTTCCAACAAGGAATAAGGTTTAATATCTAGTTCAATAACTTTTATTAAATTCGAAATAATATAAAATAAAAAAAGTTGGTTTGTATGTATTCTATACTAGTCCTAAACTAAGAAAGCAAATAAAATATTTATCTAATATGTGAATGTTTGTATTGGAATTGTGAATCCTCTATGACCATTTAATTCAACTCTTCATTTATAATTTAGTAAGTTCGTGTATTCAAGACAATCGACAATCCACTTTTATTCAATATTTTTTTCAAAATATGTTAAACCTATGTTTAACACTGTAATGCCTTAACTTTTAAAAAAGAAAGAGAAGTCAAAGAAAAAGAAAGAGAAGTCAAAATCTAAAATTGAAGTCAAATGTATCAAGCTTTAAAAAAAAAAATTATTGTAACCAAATAAAAGTGGACAAAATCAGGCGGTGGTTGATTATATTAATCCAAATCCATTTCATTTTCATATCAATCCACTTATATACAATCCATTTACACACAAAACATATATACAGACAGAGAGGAAACGAGAAAGAGAAAAAGATAAGGAAAAGAAAAAAGGGAGAAGAAAATATTCATCAGCAATTAAAGAAATGGAAATAGAAAAAGGAAGAGATAGATAGCCGTGCCAATCTTCATCTGGGAGATACTTCATTTACTTGCTGTAAATTTATTCACTTTGTTAGCAGCAATACAAGGTAAGAAGGAGATATTAAATTCAAGAACATATTAGGGATTATATGTGAATATATCCGTACACCAGGAAATTGAGAAGGGAAATGAGATAAATGGATAAGGTGTGGAAAAATGATTTAAAGGAATTGAAGAAAAAAGGAGAACACAGACTAAAAATTATTGTGATCTTGTTGTATGTTTTTGTAACCTATGAAAAAGAAAAAGGGAGAAGTTAGTCGAAGTGGATACACGTATAAGGAGAAAGAAATGTATGAATCTGGGTATGTTTCACACTTCAATTTCAGTTTTTAGTTGGGAGAATTTTGGGACAACTATTACTCGTGTATAAATATACAGTCGGGAAATGATCGATATATGAAGAGCAGCCAAAATAGGGAATAACTAATTGAGTTAATTAAGTAGATTGCGTAACCGTCCAAGGTTGAGGAGAAGCGAATTGAAAGAAAGATATGGATTGTTGAATTTTGAATAATCTATGGCAGCTCTAATACGTTAAAGATGGAAATGGGAATACATTGAAAAAAATAGTGGATATTTTAAATCAGTCAACATAATAACTAGAAATGGAGACCTTTGGCTGTGCAATATTAATGATGAATCGAGTTAATTGGTTTTTATGTGGAATATAATCTTGTTTTCCAGGAAATAACGAGGAGATTGGAGTTGCTTATTGACCAAGTTAATCTCCATCCAATACATATTTTTGTGAGTGGAAAAACTTAAATGTTTTTAAAGTATTTATAAATTAAATATATTAAAAATATATGTGCAATTCTGTGTTCGATTTTATGACTATCATAGAAATCTATTTTATTATGATATATGTAGAATTTCAAAGATTATTTATGGTACATTTATGACTTAATTGACATGTGTGACATATGTGATTTTGAGATCGATCAAAAAAGTACTTATAATTATATATTTCTTCTAGTTCATTGATGGGTCTTAACCGTGTTCTATACTACACTAAGAGATCTTGGATCGTGGATGAAGAGGTCTTGACTGTGTACATATAGTTCACTTAGGGGTATTGACAGTGTTCTAGAATTAATTATCAGATGTCTTGAGACCAGTTTTGTTCACAGATGAGGCCAAAGGCCCGTGACGAAAGTTCTTAAGCCGAGGGGTGGATTACATATTTCAGTCAGAGGGTACATTTTTAGTAGATATTTCAGTATATTTGATGTGATGAGATTATAGTATAGTTATCAGTTGATATTTATAGATTGATTTTGAGATGATATTTTGTGACGTATGTGAATGTCTCACGTTTTGACTATAATTATATGATGTTATCTTGCAAATTATTCAATGATATGAACTCAATTTTCGATAAAATGTAAAATTGAAAAAGTATAATTATTTTTTTAACTTCTCTACTCACTGAACTATCAACTAATATATTTTCCCGTAATTATTCATACAGGTAGCAATTGATCCTTTTTAGTCAGAAGAGCCTAATGATTTCGGAATGAGAGTCACACGACATGTTGAGTATTATAACTCATATTGATGAGGTACAAAGTAATTAATTTAGGCCTATCTCATTATATTTTACATAGCCTTTGATTTTGGTATATTTTTTGTAGAAACTCATAGTCAGTCTTAGTAATAGATTTGACATCTAGTCAACATCTATCATCAACACACGTCACGTTTAGGATCTACTCAGGTAATTCGGGATGGGTCGTGTTAATCACGATCCAGTCCTATTCCTAGTTCGAATTCATTTAAAAAACGTATATTAATTCACATGATTTATCACATATAATTGCACATGTCATATATTTTATTCCTAATACCTATTGTTCTTGTTTTGATTTTGCTACATTCTAACTTATTGTGAATATTCCTACACTACAACAAGCAACTTACTATCTAATTGGTGATCAAGCAATCAAATAATTCAATGGGAATACAAAACCAATCAAGAAAAATAAAGAAATACTAAACTAATTATCTTGAAATAAAATGAACAAACAATAAGGTTCATCATTCATTAAAAAAAAGCATCACTTAGATCGAAAAAATATGGAAGATGGCAGAAAAATCTACTTTCTTGAATGAAATCTTGATTTTGGATGAAAAATTTTCGAGAATCTTGCACAATTTTCTTGATATTGATGATCTAACATGGTTCTTCATCTTCAAAATATGTTGAATCTATAAATTTTTAGATCTAGGGAGGTCTCTCCACGTTTTGGACTCCTCTTGGTATAAATAGGGTGTCAAAATAATACATACCAAAAGTTTCTAAACCAAAATAAAAAAAAACAAACTTCAAATCATTGGTGTGCTCACCCTACGGGGTCTGTTTTACAAAAGTACTTCGATCGCGCTGGAAGAACACCAATGGCAGGACACCGATAGTTGACAACGGCAGACCTAGATCCAGAATTAAACCATGCATAAGCATAGTTCATTTGGTGTGTAAACAAAATACATGTAATTTGGTCTCAATATTGGATTTTTGAAACATTGCATACACAAGGCCTGCAGGCCCATGTATATGCATGGTACAATTTTTAAGGATCAATTTTTCAATTTGGTCCCTGAACTTTCTCACATATGTGTTTTGATCCTTTATCAAAATTTCTTGTTCCATTGACTTCTCTTCGATTCCAATTGAATTTTGGCATTCTCAAATCATCGTTTTGTAATTCGACTTAACTTTATAAGTATTGTATTTTAGTCCCCAAACTTTGTATTTGATTTGACCGAGCCATTTTCTCTTGTAATCTTGTTCCTTTATTTTTCAATTGTATCCAATTAAATCATTGATATCTTTAGTTCTCATTTCGCCCTTCTGATCTATGAATTGTTTGCAATTTAGTCCTCAGCTTTTGGATTTCACCCTTTTTCGCTATTTTTGCATTCTTTTCTCCGTTTCTTCATCAAATATCGAGTTTTACCTATTTGACACAATATAACATAAATTATGCTATATTTCATTAGAAGAACTACTAAATATCATTATTTAAAATCTAGAATAAGTATATAAAATACACTTATCACTCATCATACCAAAACCCTAAAAACTAGATGTAGTTAGTATATACCAGTACATTCCTTGAAAGGTGTTGGGTTCACAATATGAAGTGTCCATCCCACTTCAGACACATTGTACATGTGCTTATATGAAAGCCAAGACAGATCCATGTCTTGTTATTTACTTTACACTTATTCTACGAAAGATTGAATTCATATTACTATCAAGATGTCCTAAAGATACGCGCCACATTAAGTGCACGTCAATCTTGAGCTAGGTAAAACAATTGAGGTCATTCATTTTACGTTTATGTAAATTTCAAAAATCTAAAGCTTTGTTTGTTTATTTAATTATTCGGAAAAGCCCAAATCACAAGATATTAAAACAAGATTTCAAGTTATCGCAAATAACGAAAGTAAACTTACAAAAAAATTAAAAGATTGAACCCAATTGCTTTCTTTCAGTCTAAACCCTAGATGTTCAATGATCAGATCTAACACCTACATCCTCATTGAGCATCTAATAAATTGGATGTATGCTCGGTTGCACTAAATGACCCAAAATAGCAACAAAAATTACAGATCAGTCCTTCCAACACAAGAGAGAAGTACAAGACTCTTATTTCTTTGACAATAAGTTGTTGATCATCGAAGAATCACTCAAAAAATTTCAACATGTCTACTGAAACTATTACTACAAGAAACCTGTCATTCTTATAGCCATCACTCAAAATATTACAGATATCAAAAGTTAAAACTAGATCTCAGTCTCGAATGAGTATTTCTAGAGGGAGGAGAATTTTTCTCTCAAACTCAAAACGTCAATGTTGAAGTGCCAAGTGAAACGACATTGTGTGCCTTTATATCTAATACAACAAATATGCCATAAGGACACATGTCGTTATCTTGTAAAAACGCTTCAATAAAAAGAATCGCATTTCTAGTATTGCGACTTCAGCCAAATTTTGGGAACACATCACAAATCCCAGGTTCGAGCCTCAACAACTTTTGACCAAGAAATTTCATTCACTAATTTCTTGTTGAGCTAAAACTTACGCATCCAATCGAATTTTTTTCCAAATATGCAGAGAATTACAAGTGAAGTTGGTCCGAGTCAATGTTCCACAGTCAAACCCGTTGAAGTATATGGTTTCTTCCTCTCATTTTTCCATGGAATCCCAACAGCCCAGCTCATTTACACACTCATGATTAATCCAACTTGAATTTTTCTCACATACACTTTAAATACTAAATCAAACAAACCACTTCATCCGCCTCCAATTTCACCTCCCAATTTCCAAATTATTCCGCCATGGGATTTGACGACGAAGATCATCCTTCCAATCGTGGAAAAAACACTTATGATCTTAACAGTAAGATCATGATCACAGCCATAATTTCATTATCATTTGCGGTGATACTTGTCACAATCCTCCACATATATGCTAGATTTGTCATTCGCCGCCAAGCACGGCGTCAGACTGCCTTGCGCCGCCTAGGCTTCATCACAAGCGCCGCCAATGTCCAATTGATGGAGCTACCAAAGACCGGCCTCGATCCGTCTGTCATGGCATCGTTGCCCATATTTGTGTTCAAGCAAACAAATGGAAATAGTAGTGATGAAATGGGGTCAAGTTCGATGGAATGTTCAGTTTGTTTGAGCTTGTTCGAGGATGGTGAAATGGCTAGGACCTTGCCAAATTGTAAGCATACTTTTCATGCAGAGTGCATTGACAAATGGTTTGAATCAAACTCAACCTGCCCCATTTGCCGGATGGAGGCCGAGCCCAGGCTGGTGGCAGAGCCAAGGGAGGACGTGGCGGCGCCCTCGTCTCCACCACTCCATGGTGCTAACTCTTTGATCATAACAAGCATGGAAGGCACAGCAGACGGTGGAATTTTATCCACAGCAAAAATTGTTGGATCAAGTTCAAGATTAAGTTCATTCAGAAGAATTCTTAGTAGGGAAAGATCATTTCGAAGAATCCAATCCTGCGGTCAAGAAGATGGCTTACCTGATCTTGAGAGGCAGTGATTGTAAATAAATTAAACAATTTTACTTCATATATTGTTTCCATTTAGAAATCAAAATATGGAAAATGAGTAATGAAACACAGATGAGTCGAATTCTCGATCAGGGCTTTACACTATTATGGATAAAATTTCACTTCAGTTTTGTCAATTGCTATACCATTCACGTTACTGAACAAGGCAAAAGGACTTTTTCTACATTTAGAATTATTATTGTATTTAGAAATGTCAGTGAGGAGATGTTATGTGTAAATATTTAGCTCGAGTTTGATGGAAATTAAGCTCCCATTTGGTCCACATTCTCATTCTTTTTTTCTCTTATTTTCAATCACACAATCTTTTATAAAATAATTTTACACGCAAATAAAAAACTTTTCATTCTTTTTCAAAAAAACACTATTTTAACCATTAAAATTTGACAAGAATAGGGGCCAAACGAGGGCTAAAATCAAATTTTTTGCAGTAGTGAAACTCATGAAATATGTGGTTAAAATTAATTGTTAACTTTGACTTAAATAAAAATATAAATTATAATTTTTATCAGACATGGAACATTAAGATTCTGTATGTTGATAACGGGTGTTTGAAGAAAGAATAATTAATATTTGAAATTCGTAAAGATGATTAGGAAAGATTTATATTGTTTGAGAATGATTGAATTAAAAAGATTCTTGTATTTGGTAACCTAAAGATTAATATGATCGATAGGTGGCATGCAAAAATAATCTTTTAATTAATTAGATTGCTGGTTGCGCCATGTGAACTTTAGACTAAATACATTTTCCATTTGTCAAACCTTTGACTTTTTCTATTAATTTATTTGTTAATTTATGAAAAAATTAAAATAATATTATGAGCTTTTTTGACTTTGTAAAGGAGGCTATATAACATGGCCATCGATAATTGGAACATTTTTCTGTATTTTATGCGAATTTTAGGATTAGATTGTCATAATAGATTATTCAAATTAAAATAATAATAATATAAAAAAAAATTGCACTCTCTGATGTAATGTACAAAGGTAGAAAATAAGGGTAGCAATAATTCTTCCTCCCCATCTTCACATGCTCCCTCTGCACGGAAAGAGATGTTTCTTGAAATCGAAAGAGTCCTCGTTTCTCTTAATAACTAAAAGGTATAGCAAAGTTAAATTTAATTGCCAATTTTGGTGTAATATTAGTGGTCTTGGCGGAGCTATGAGATGAGTACATAGAGACTCTTTCATGATTTCCCCAAAAATTCCATTTTTTGCTTTTAAAAGTCAGATGGAGATCCTCGCCGCCACATTTCAGTCTAGCTCAAATGGACTGCGGGTTTCCCTTTTTTTTCCTCCTCTTTTTTTTTTTCATTTTTTTTTCTAGCTCTTTGTGTTGAGTTTTGTGACTCAAATATGGTTAAAAATCTTATGAGATTGCGTATTTGATTTTTTACTTGGAAAGAAATCAATTTGTGTACAAGTTAAACCAGGAAACGTAAGGATTTTTTTCATTTACACAATTGTAACCTAATTTTAACATAATTTTTTACCTTTTAGGACTCTTCTATGATTTTTATATGTGGCCTATAAATATAGGGCTCCGCTATCTGGTTAGTCGAAACTATTATTACTGTGTCTGTAATATCTCTCCTTATTGACAGTTAATATACATCGTTTCTCTGCGATTAACTCTCTTTTGTGCTTTATTTTTCACCCTTGTTTCTTGTTGTAATTTTTATTATTTTATATTGTGTCATTAATCTCATTCATTATAATCCCTCCAGGTCCAACACTTTGTGCATTAATCATTGATTATATCTTTATATATTGATTATTTAATCAATATAAAATTTTACCGAGATGTTGGTTCATTTGAGAAATTCAATCTAATAATTGTTGGCTTGATTGAGTTAAACTGATCAAATTGTCATTTGAACTTTCTAAGGCCTTATTTATTGAAATCAATTCATTTGCATAATGAGAAATCATTTTATATTCCTCAGCTTTTTCTTCTAATTGTGGAAGCATATATTTACATTGAACACAATTAAAGAAAAAAGCAATTATTTTTTGGCTGCACTTTACCAACTCTTGCCTTGCATTGTCACTGTACACTAAAAAGAAAAAAAAAGTTAAAATTTTATTCATAATACTGTTCAATTCACTATTGTGTAGCTGTCCAACAGTCAATAAACACCAAAATGATCAAACACAACTCGTATGATAAAGAAATTCACAAATTCAAACTAAATCTGGACTCATTAACTGTCATGGAGTATATTCACATGGTAATTGAACACGAACAATTCGAAACCATTTATATTCGAACTTTGTTCCTTTCAGAAAGTTAGCGGGGTTACACAAAGAGCAGAAGAAACACGATCAATCCTCGACTCCATCTGTGAGTAATTGAATGACTGCTATCCGCAACAGTCGGCCCTTCCGTCACTGATCCAGTAAAGGTTCCATTACTTGTGCTCAAGCTGCACCAAAATGCACAACTTGAGTCATGTTCAACTAAGGAGGATAGTACATATCTCAGGATACAACAGAACAAACCGAGTCTACATTCTTAGGACTTGTTTGAGCCCCATAAAATTGAAAAAATGCATTTTGAAATTGTAGATTGTATGGTTAAAAAATAAGAAAAGGTTTTGGATATGTGTGTAATATTATTTTATTGAAAAATATTTGGTTGAAAAGAAAATAGAGAAAAATGTATTTTAAAAAAAGTGAAAATCAAACCAGGCTTTAATAAAGTTAGGGTCGGCTAAGTTTTAAAATGTCCCACATCCAATGCGAGCATTCTCTAATAAGGGAGCGTGTCAAGAAAAATGAAAATCACAAAGCATAATCTATCTCCAAACATGAATAGATTGTGGTCCGATTCTAATGAGGCTCATCCGTAACTCATGGATGCAACTATAACAAATAATGACTAGTTCTCAATAAATTTGGGGTCGGCCAGGTATGTAAATGTACTACATCCACAAAAGCATTCTCTAATATCAGATTGTGTCAAGAAAAAATAAAATATATACAATCTCCAAATATGAAAAAGTTATGGTCCAATTCTAACAAGGTTCGTCCATGTCTCAAGGATACTCAAGAATACAACTACAACAAACCAAGTCTAAATTCTCAATAGATTTAGGCCGGCTAAGTATAAAATGTTTCACATCCACGACAAGCACTTAGAGAAAAATGAAAATCACAAAGCATGATCTATCTACAAATATGAAAAGATTGTGATACAATTCTAATGAGGTTCGTCCACATCTCAACTAAGATTTATTCCAAATAAATGTGACGTTGACTATTCATCTGTTTAGCAGAAATTAAAATTCATATTTTAATTTAAGTCAAAATTAACAATAAATTTTAATGACACATTTCATGAATCACAATTTTTCGAGTAATACATTTTATCAACTTTTATCAAAATCTACTAAAAATCTTATCTTAATCTCCTCCAAACACTAGCTTAGAATATGTTCCACATCTGTCCTTTTCCATTTTATGGCATTAATGAATAATCATAAACTAACTAATTTCCCATTTTTATTTTTAACTCTTCAATTTTATATGTAATAAAACTGAGAATGAAAATGAAAATACAAACATAGTTATAATGCACGCTACAAGAAAATTTCACTTTTAAATACAAAATTTTTTTTGTCTTTTAAAAGTCTCTCGACTACCCGATTTCGACGAAACAACTAAATCTTGACATTTTTAGGGATCGTCTTTACCTGATAGATGGAAATTTGCAATTATTGTGACCTGGGAAAAAAAAAACCAAAATTTCAACAAAAATACATTTAAAAAAAAAAAAAAAAAAAAAAAAATTTTCAGG